ATTGTTTGTCTAAAAGGATAATTGTTTACTTAAAATGTTGAAATCTTTTGGACTTGAGATACTGTTGTGATTGAGTTATATTACTTAGATATTAGGTTGATGAAACCTAAGTAATTAATCAAAAAGTAATTATGGAGGTCCACAATTCACAGAAGTGATAAGCTGGTAGGTATTCAGCTCCTTGGTTGAAGTTTAAGCAACTTGAAGAAATACCTTCCGCTTTGGTATTTTCCCATGTTAGTGGAGACTGATACATTTGCTGGGTGATAAGGATGGTCTCTGGACCTAGAAAGACACAAATTTCCCTCTTTTATTAATAAATCTTCCCCCAGAGGATCCAGGACCCCATTCAATGCTATATCTTTCATGTCATACGTTTCTCTATTCACTCAGTTCTCAATGAAGGCAACATTTCCCTTTCCAAGCATGGAGGCCAGATTTTTTTAAAAACAATTTTATAAAATAAGTAATTTTAGCCTTCCAATAATATTATTGATACAGCTGAAAACTAATATTCTGTTTCTTCATTTGTCCCACCCTCCTCAACCCATTATACTCAGTCTTTTGCCTCCACCTCCCCACTGAAATTGCTCTGTCAAAGGTCCCCGAAGTTCTGACCAATCCAATTTAAAGTTTTCTTCCTTGACCTCTCTGTGGCATTTGATAGCCATTGACTGCTCCTTGTAGCTCCTTTCTATTGACTTCAGTGATGCATTAATTCACCTGACATCTAGCTATTATTTATTGAGCGCCCATAAATGTCAGGCAGAGTGTTAGGCATTGATGATATTTCAATGGGCAAGACATGCATTTTTCCCCCACGCAGATGTTTTACTCATTTAATACAGTGCACATTATCACACAATATTTATTACACAAGATCTAGTATTAGACAGACTTCACTTTGAGACCTGGCTCTGCTACCTACAATTGGGTGAACATAGGCAAATTTCTTAACACTCTTCACCTTTAAAATGGGTGCAATTAAAAATATCCACTTGATAGGAATTTTTAAAATGTTAAAGTAATATACGAAAATGTTTGGCATACTGCTTGGCACTAATTTCTCCATTCTTACTGGAACTACCTAATTCAATCAATATAACCTTATAGAGACACTGCAGCATCTCTTTGGCTGCTATCTTTGACTCTGGTCTTGTCACACTTAAGTCCAACTTCTACATTGCTGATTAATTAGCAGCTCATCCCACCACCCCTGCTCCACAGCCATTATACACTTACTACTTGCTCTTCCCTGATTCTGCTGGGCTCTTTCACCTCCCTGCTTCATTCATATTTCATTACTGTCCATCTGTTAGAGTGCTCCTTCCTTCCTTGTTGGCTTTTTGAACACCTGCTTTTTCTTAAAATTATCTTTCAAACTTTATCTCCCTGAGGAGAAAGTCAGACATTCTTTTTCCCATACTGTCATAGCTCCTGTATGCCTCTGTTATAGCCCAATCATCTGTAATTTAATTATCTGTGGGGGCCCATGAGAGAAAAGGATGTGTCTAGTTGCCTTGGTATCCTTTGATGTGGCACAACTGTAGCTTTAAAATTGATTCTAGATGAATGTTTAGTTTCTATGAATGAATACTTAGTCTCCATGTGCTGGGCATTATGCTAGGGATAGGTATGCAGACATATATGCCCTCAAGAGGTGCACAGTGTAAAGTTGGATAAGGGACAAAAGATTCATGTCATGAATTAACACACTATTTCATTTTCAGTTAAAGGATGTCAGAATTTAAGCTATTCATTTTTTTGAAGGGATGAATTAATAGTAATTTAAAATTCCTTTAATTTACCTGCTAATGAAAGCAGTTTTATTGTAAGTTTTGCCTCTTTAAGAAATGTATTTTTATATACCCAAACGTCAAGCTTCTTGTGATAAGAGCAGATGAGCATTGTTTCTATGTTTCAGGTGATTTACAGGAAGTAGGGGGTTTGCATCAATTATAAGTGGAACCTTGGGAGTGAGACTGAGCTAAACTACTTTCTCTGTGCTTTCTAAATTTTGAGATGTTTAAAGTGCAAGTCTTGGGTATTGATGCATAGCATATTTGCAGAAGTTGAAGTGATCATTCCCTAGTTCTAATTTTTCAAGCTCTAAGAATTTTTTTATTTTCTCAGCTTGCACAGTTTAACAATTGTGAGACCAAAAATATTTATTAGTTAATTGAATACTGTGGTGTATATAGAATTGCCATGTATAGTATTTGCATATAATATTAAAAATAATTTAGTTTTTCTTTATTGATACAAGTTACTTTAGCACCCTGGTAGGCTTTAGCATTATCATTTGAGACTTAATAACCATTGTATCTTAGGTACAGAAGTGCTTTTTAAAGCAGCAAGGATTGATAGACTGCTGTACTCACAAGTAGTTTTAATTTTGTTGCCTCTGGTGAATTTACTTACTTGTTATTTTCTGTATGATTCTTTGGGATTATGACATTTGGAAATAGGACATAAGCTTACTGTATTATATCTGTGTTCTTAATAACTGTGAGGGCATTTTTAATGTTATGAAAAATGCAAGTTAGAAGAAATTCTCTTTTTCTCATCTGTGCATAAAGACCCTAAGTCCTTTAAGACACAACTCTGCAAAGTATAGAAGCAATCCATGGAACATTTTCAGTGGCATGTGGAATTTTGTTGTTCAGCAAATATAGTCAAATTATAGGAATTTTAATTTATTCTGAACTTAGTTTTTAATAAGAATTTCATAATTAAAAATTAATAGCAGCAAATAATTTTGCCATTGAAGGGACATAAGTTTAATTTGTATGTATTAGAAATTTTTAGTTACAGTATAGTGATGGTGATGTAAGGATTTTGTATGGAAAGACGTTTTAGTGAAGGGCTTTTCAGACAGCTAGTAATTAAACCAGGAGAGAATGGTTTATAATCCAAGAGAGAAGAGCAATTTAGGAGGAAGAGTTGATGAACACTATAAAACTAAAGGAAAAAAAAAAAGTTAAGTAATATGACAAAACAGGATATATTGGTGTAAATAATTACAAAAGCAGTTTTAATGGAGCAGTTGGAACAGGAGCCAAATTGCAGTGGATATCATCTATCTTGTTTTCTCTCTTTCACACCAGGGAACTAGTTAGAAAACTGCTATTATAATCAATTCTGGCTGGCATTATTGTTAGTGAATGCAACATATGTTGAAGTTCAATCTTGTAACATTACAATGTGAGATGAGTAGTGATGTTTTTATCCTAGTAGGTGACTTTCTCAGCTTCTCTTGAACATCAGATCTATGAAACTAAAATTAATGTGAAATGCTTCTTAATAATGGGACTGATTTTCACTTAAATTTTCTACTTCTCATTTCACATGGATTTTAAGAACTTCTTTGTCAAACTAACTTCTTAACTTGGCTTCCACAATATTTAGACTCTATGGTAAGTTCTCAAAAAATATTTGATGTGTTTGGACTCTATTTTAAAACAATATTATTGACTCTGTTTTATCCCCTCACTTCTGGATGGGGAGAACTCATAGGGAATAAGTAGGAGTAGCAAACTAAGCCATAGACAGCCTAGACTACTTTGCATTCTAACAGGACACTAACAAAGTGACCTGTCTTTTCCTGTCTGATTTTCAGGACCTCCTTATAAGATGAGATAGATAACGAAATAAAATATGAATATGTAAACTACATGTACTAATTTCAGCCAAAGTCAGAGAAGCACTAGGGTGACTCTACATAGAAGCTTTCTTTAGGATACAGACTCAACTCTTATCTGTGCTGTACTCTTCCTCAAGGGTGGATCTAACTAGATTATGTGTGATTCTGCTTCTAATTACTATATAATGCATTGTGTGTGTGTGTGTGTGTGTGTGTGTGTGTGTGTGTGTGTGTTTATTTATTTATTATAACCATTATTATAAGGTAGATTTCCTTTTGCCATAGCATCTTGGAATAAGTATGAACCGAGAAAACTTAAAGACTTTTAACTCTGTCTGGTCAGATTCCTACTCTACTTTTGTCTGCTCTCATTTTTGTGAGTGAAAGAGTGAATGCAAATCATTCCACAGTTTTAATTCCTTGTTTTGTCTCTCACTTCCTGGGGTCTAGCTGACCTGCATGATTTTCTTGGAGATTACTAATTTAAGCACTTCTGTTTATGCAAGATAACCTGATGCCTTTCTCTGCTCATGTACCATAGATTCCCTCTCTGGTTATATTTTCTACTTAACAAGTGAATTGTGATAAGTAAAATAGTAATATTGAATGGACATAATAAACAACTTTATAATAGCCTCTTAAAATTCTTTAACGATCAGGGAAATTGTTAAGGAAAATATATTATTCATGATAATTACAGCAAATGGAGTATAGTATTGAAAAGAAAAGAGAACAGCTAGATTAGCAGCATTTAAAAACTTCATGCTCCAGGGTTTGAGGGGAGGGAGGAATGAATAGGTGGCACACAGAGGATTTTTAGGGCAGCAAAACTATTCTGTATGATACTATAATGGTGGGCACATGTTACTATACATTTGTCAAAACTCAAGTATATACAACACGAAGAATGAACCCTAATGTAAACTATGAACTTTGGGTGATAATATTATGTCAGTGTAGGTTCATTGATTGTAACAAATGTACCACTGTAGTGCACAATATCGATAGTTGCCAGGGGAGGGGGTTGTGTGTGTGGGGGGCAGGGGGTACATGGAAAATATCTTTATATTCTGCTCAGTTTTGCTATGAATCTAAAATTGCACTAATAAAATCTATTTTAAAACAACAACAAAAAGTTTATGCTCATTAACATCTTAGAAGCGTCCAGAAAATGAACTGAAATTTACTTTCTTTAACTCAAAATGAATGACTTAACCTATTTGGGAAATTTGTGTACCCAAGGGAAATACCTCTCTTGCTTCTCTCACTAGCTGCCTCTTCTGGTAAGCATTAAAAAAGCTGTGAATTCAATTATTTGTATTATACTTTATTAACATTTGCTTCCATTTACCTCTAGGTTTGAAGTTTGAGGAAATTCAAGAAAGATTTGGTGAGGAGTTCTTTAATATATGCTTTGATGAGAATGAGAGAGTCCTTCGAGCTGTAGGTGGCACGTTGCAGGACTTTTTTAATGGCTTTGATGCTTTGTTGGAACACATTAGAACTTCTTTTGGAAAACAGGCCACTCTGGAGTCACCATCATTCCTATGCAAAGAGCTCCCTGAAGGTAATCTTATGCTCCACTACTTCCACCCTCACCACATTGTGGGGTTTGCAATGCTTGGAATGATTAAGGCTGCAGGAAAGAAAATCTATCAGCTGGATGTAGAAGTGGACCAGGTTGCAAATGAGAAACTGTGCTCTTATGGTTCAAACCCAGGCAATTGTAGTGGTCTTACTTTCCTTATCAAACAATGTGAAAATACTAGTATCACGAAGAACCTTCCACAGGGAGCCTCCCAAGTTCCTGCGGACCTCAGAATTAGCATCAACACCTTCTGCAGAGCCTTCCCTTTCCATTTGATGTTTGACCCCCACATGACAGTCCTTCAGCTGGGGGAAGGCCTAAGGAAGCAGCTCCGATGTGACACTCACAAAGTGCTCAGGTTTGAGGACTGCTTCGAGATTGTTTCTCCAAAGGTTAATGCCACCTTCGAAAGGGTTCTGCTGCGACTGTCCACGCCATTTGTGATTAGGACCAAGCCTGAGGCTTCTGGCACTGAGAATAAAGACAAGGTAAGTGGCTATGGACTAGATATGGGTGATGGGAACTAGGAGATTTACATAATTATTTTAGTAAATTACATGATGGCAGTACTTGTCATTATTTAGGCGAGATAACCTAGAGTGTCATTTAGAAAATTACTTGTCCCTGGATATATGTAAAAAGATTTGGCCTTATTCCCAGCCATTTTGCATAGTGTCTGCCTCTTTCATTAATTTATTTCATCATATAAAAAGAAGACATTTATTAATACTACCCATAGTAATTGCAAAAATGATAAGACTCACTAAAAACTGGATACTGTAAACCCATGACTATTTCCACTGTTTGAACTCAAACTATGAGAGAAATAGTAAGACTGATTTCAACATTGTGGGGATCGCTTGCCTTATTCTTAAATATTCCATAAATATAGATAAAAAGCTAGCTACATTTTGAATATGTTATGTTTTAAATTTCATAATCTAGGAACATCTGGTTTACATCCTATTATTTTCTTAATATGCAGAATAATGTATCAAGTGACTATCTCAAGGCCTCTTCTAATTAAATTTTAGTGTTGAAAAAAGAGACATTTCTTTAGAACATGTTCACTTCTTGAGAGAAGACACTGGAATTATTCTTTTAAATTTAGGGAATATTAAAGCTATTGGTTTTGATTTATAGAAGTACAATATTTGGCTAGAAGTGTTTGAAGCATTTTTGGCCTTAGAATTGAAGTTAATATTATTGAAAATGTGCCTGAAGTAGAATATATTATTACCAATGTTGATTGCTTTATATATTTTGTAGATTTGACAACAATTAATTCAATTTAAAGTTACTGCTTCAGATTTTTCCCCCTATATTTCATCTTGTATGTCTATTTAATTTGTATACCACAGTAAGAAATAGACACAGTGAAATGATGACTCAGATGTCAAGGCCCCCAATAATAAGGAACTGTGCTCATTGAGAAGATGCAATTATAATTTAAACATGTTAGTGGCAGTTTAAAAATAAAGCAATAGGCAGGATTTTTAGTTAGAATAGGGATGGAAATCCTCTCATTCTCTGTGCATTTCTGCTTATTCACCTGGGTTTGCCAGAATGGGACATTTGGGAGGCTACAGTTTAGCCCAAATAAAATTATAATCAATAAAGTAAAGTTATGGCATGGAATCTTAACCAGATGAGTAATATTTTTGAATTGTTATGTTCCAAATTCCAAATTTATAGTTTCCTAAAACATGGAAAGAAGAAAATAAGGGTTAAAAATTATGATCCTGTTGATAAATTTGACCTTGATATTCATTATTTTTCCCATAATTGCTGGTCTTGTTAATAACTCCATGTTATCTGAAGTTTCTAATTTTGTATTGGGCTTTGATAAGAAAGTTCTAATTTTCAATAATGTAAGATATTTATTCTTTAGTCTACAGTGAAGGCTTTCATTTTACTTTAACTATTTTAGCTCTGCACTTAATACCAATGGACTACCACCCCTGCCATCAAAAAGAAAAACAACAAAAACAAGAGCTAATCATACAGCTGAATGATGGTAAATCATTTGCAGAGTGAACTGTAATGCTTTTGCTAAACCATGATCTTTGTCATTTTGTGTTGTCAGTAGTGTTAACTATATAACTAGAGGTAGAACACTCTTGTAAGCAATTTGGTGAGGTAGCCATCATCCTAGTTTCAAAGAATTTACATCTCGATTCTGCAGTAATGAGTTATAAAGACATAAGTGTTTGTTACCAGAAGCAAAAATATCATTGAGAGGCATCTGATGCATTTTCAAAGAGAGGCAAAGGGGAATCTGAGTTTTCAACCATGAAAATCTCATCCTTTTATCAATACTAAGTTAGAATAATTCTCTAACAAATTAGGCTGCCTACCTCGGAAGGTTATTTGTGAAGATTAAATGACACAATCCATGTAAAATTCTTATTATATCTTTGGCTTCAGGGTTAAGTGTTGAATAAATGTTCATTATTGTTACTTCTACCACTATTATTATTATTATTGTTCCTTTCCCCTTGTCACATTCCTCCTATCCTCTCTTCTTGCCTTATGGAAGTTAGTACTGAAATCAGTAGGTTGAATAATTTTAGAGAAATATCAACTCTACCTAACATCTTCACAAAATACGACTTGGGTTTGTCTTCTTAATAATGACTAGAAGACCATTTGTCACAAATCCTGTAGGAGCTTTGTTTGAATCTGCTTTTTTATTTATAGGCTATCATTGTTTTAAAACCCCTAGTCTCTTTTTCAAATTCACTAAAGTTTGGAATCAAGTTTTTATTACCTGTGTCTATTAATATATTTTATGTTCACTTGTTACAGCACTTTGTTGTGTCAGTGGCTTCCAAAATAAAATGGACTGGTTAGCTTAGGCAAAACCTGAAACAGCAATGGATTTGAGAATCAATAAATGAGTTCCTTTAACATTTTTTTTCCTTAGTAGCAATGTTTCAAAGAACATTGTGGAAGGAGTCCAGCATTTGAAATACATCATCCCTATGATACAGCAATGGCATGCTATTCATCTTCACTTTTGTTCTCAAGGTTAGAACTTAGGAAAAGCATAATAACAACAACACATTTCTTTTTCAATCCCCAGAAATATCATCACATTTTGCCTTATTAATTAGAAGCTGCAAAACAAATATCAGGAGATAATTTTAAAAGACTAAAGGAAGACTTAACCTCTGATTTTCTGTGGTCAAATCGGTTTCCAAAATGCTCCTTTATCTTTTCTAGACATGTGCCCATTATTTTTCTGACATGGTGATTGAAAAGTTTAAAATATATTTATTAATCTTACCAATCCATGATGACGCTGTTGAGAGACAAATTTCATCCAGTTGTTAAGAATACATTATTTGACTTCAACTTAAAATTAATTTAATTTGGGAAAATGTGAGCATTCCTTCTCTGTTCAGATCATAATATTCTATTAGAGAATTTCAAATACTGAACAATATTTTAGTGATGGACAAAATGACACTAGGACTTTTTCTATAAATGAGCACTATAGAACATAGATGTGCAATAACTTCGATCAAAATTATCTGGAGTTTTCTTTGCTCTTATAATTATAAATGAGATATTTAATTTTAATTTTTATGTTTATTTTCTCTAGAATTTCTCCCTGACCATAAACTACCTTTTAAAGTAGGTTAGACAAATTTAGATTCTTTTAAATTGAAGTATAGTTGATTTACAGTATTATATTGGTTTTAGGTGTACAGCATAGTGATTCAGTATTTTTATGATTATATGCCATTAAAAGTTATTACAAGGTAATGGCTATAATTCCCTGTGCTATAAAATATATCCTTGGTGCTTATCTATTTTATACATAGTAGTTTGTATCTCTTAATCCCGTACCCCCAATTTGCCACTCCCCTTTCCCTCTCCCATTTGGTAACCACTAGTTTCTTTTCCTTCTGCGTGAGTCTATTTTCATTTGCATATACATTTGTTTGTAGTATTTTTTAGACTCCACATATAAGAGATATGTAGTATTTGTCTTTCTTTGTCTGACTTATTTCACTAAGCATAATATTCTCTAGGTCCATCCACATTGCTGCAAATGGCAGAATTTTATTTTATTTTTAAATGGCTGAGTAATATTCCACTGTATATATCTTCTTTATCCATTCTTCTATTCATGGGCACTTGAACTGCTTCCATATCTTAGCTATTGTAAATTGCGCTGCTATGAACATTGGGGTGCATGTATCTGTTCAAATTAGTGTTTTCATTTTTATATACTTAGGAGTGGAATTGTGGATCATATGATAATTCTACTTTTAGTTTTTTGAGCAACCTCCAGACTGTTTTCCATAGTGGTTGCACCAATTTACATTACCACCAATGGTTTACAATGGTTCCCTTTTCTCCACATCCTCTCCAAAATTTGTTATTTGTAGACTTTTTGATGATAGCCATTCTGATAGGTGTGAGGTGATATCTTGCTGTCATTTTGATTTGCATTTCTCTAATAAGTAGTGACGTTGAGCATCTTTTCATGTCCCATTGGCCATCTGTATGTCTTCTCAGAAAAAATGTCTTTTCAGGTTTTCTGCCCAGTTTTTCATTGGGCTGCTTGATTTTTAGATACTGAGATGTATGAGCTGTCTATATATTTTAGATATTAACCCCTTGATGGTCATATAATTTGCAAATATTTCCTCTAATTCTGTAGGTCGTATTTTCATTTTGTTGATGGTTTCCTTTGCTGTACAAAAAATTTTAAGTTTTATTAGGTCCCATTTGTTTATTTTTGCTTTTATTTCTTTGGTCTTAGGGAACAGATACAGAAAAATATTGCTCGATTTATGTCAGTGTTCTGCCTATGTTTTCTTCTAGGAGTTTTATGGTTTCCAGTCTCACATTTAGGTCTTTAATTCATTTTTGGAGTTTATTTTTGTATATGGTATGAGGAAATGTTCTAATGTCATTGTTTTACATGTTTTTTCAACACCAACTTGTTGAAGAGTCTGTCTTTTCTCCATTGTATATTCTTACCTCCTTTGTCATAGATTGATTGACTGTCATAGTGTGGGTTTATTTCTGGGCTGTCTATTCAGTTGATCTATGTGTCTGTTTTTGTGCTAGTAGTATGCTGTTTTGACTACTGTAGCTTTGTAGTATAATCTGAAGCCTGGGAGGGTGATATCTCCAGGTCTGTTCTTTATTTCTGAAGATTGCCTTGGAGATTTGGGGTCTTTTTTGGTTCCACATGAATTTTAGAATCATTTGTTCTAATTCTGTGAAAATATCATAGGTATTTTGTTAGGGATTATGTTAAATCTGTAGATTGCTTTGGGTAGTATGGCCATTTTAACAATATTAATTCTTCTAATCCAAGAGCATGGGATATCGTTCCACTTCTTTGTATCATCTTCAGTTTCCTTCATTAATGTTTTATAGTTTTCATACTATAAGTTGTTCAGCTCCTTGGTTAAGTTTATTCCTAGCTATTTTATTCTTTTTGCTGCAATTTTAAGTGGGATTT